GGTTAGGTAATGCTAGTACAGGGGAAGTGGTTAATCTTTTCTTAAGTTCTTAAAAACTATTTTTGCATTTTTCTGCCCATTCAAAAACTTGACCTTTCTTGGTGAGTTAGGTTAAAGGCATAGCCATTTTAGAAAATCCTTCAATGAATCTCCTATAATATCCTCCCAAACCCAGGAAATTACGAATCTCAGTCACTGTTTTTTGTGGATCCCATTGTAAAATTGCTTCCACCTTAGTTGGGTCTACTGACACTCCCTCTTTAGAAATCACATGACCTAAAAATTTTACTTCTTTTAACCAAAATTCACACTTAGACAACTTAGCATACAATTGTTTGTCTTTCAAAATTTGAAGAATAAGTTAAAGGTAGTCCGCATGATCTTCAAAAGTTCTAGAATAAATAAGAATGTCATCTATAAAAGCCACAACAAAATGATCTAAAAATGGACGAAAAATCTTATTCTTATAATCCATGAATATTGCAGGAATATTGGTCACACTAAAAGACATCACTTGATATTCATAATGACCATACCTAATTCTAAATGCAGTTTTTTGTACATCTTCTGCATTTACTCTAATTTGGTGATATCCTGATCTTAAATCTATTTTAGAAAATACAGAAGTTCCTCTTAATTGATCTAACAAATCATCTATTCTTGGAAGAGGGTATTTATTATGGTGAATTTATTTAACTGACAATAATCTACACAAAACCTAAAACTTTCATCTTTCTTCTTAACTAATAAAACAGGGGCTCCCCAAGGTGATACACTAGGACGAATGAATTGTTTTCCAAATAATTCTTCCAATTGTTTCTTCAGTTCTGTCAGTTCAGAAAGTGACATCCTATACGGTGCCATAGAAATTGGTCCAGTTCCAAGCATTAAATCTATTGAAAATTCAATCTCTCTATTGGGTGGTAAACCAAGAATATCATTAGGAAAAACTTCAGGAAAATTTTGAACAACTGCTATTTTTTTCAAATCGACTTTCTCTTTTACTTCTATAGAAGATAGTAACAAATATCCTTGAATTTTGTTCTTCAAAGACTCATTTACTGAGTTAGTAGAGAAATTCAAAAGATTTTCAGAATTTGAAAATATTATGGATTTTTCTGCACAATTCAGAAAGACTTGATTTAAAGATAACTAGTTCATACCAAAGATTACATCCAATTGAGATAAAGGTAGACAAATTAAATTTACAAGGAATTTCCTGTTTTCAATGAACAAATGACAATCTAGACAAATTTTATTAGTGATTACAAACTTACTTGTGGGAGTTAAAACAATCAAACTAGTGTGTAAAAAAGAAGTCGACAATTCAAGGTATTGAAGATAATCATTGGAAATAAATGAATAAGTTGTGCCTGAATCATATAGTACATTTAAAGTTTTGCCTTTAATGAAACACATACCGTAGATCAAATCATCATTCTGAGAGACTTCAGTTCTATTCATGGTATATACTCTTCCTTTTGTCGGAGGTCTTCTTTTTGGTGTAGAAGGATCAGAATTTGGTTTTTGTTGTCGACATTCAGAGAATATATGACCAGGTTTTCCATACTTGAAGCAAACAGGCCCTTTAAGATGACAATCTTTAACATAATGATCATGTCTGCACTTGAAGACTTGAGTTGACTATTTACAGGTTTATTAAAATTTCCTACAGAAAATTGGTTGGGTTGAGATTTCCATTGGGGTTGGTTGTAAGGTTTTCTTTCATTTTGTCTCCTTTTATTATGCTGGGGTCCAAAATATTTTAGTTTACTAGTTTGAAGGTTTTCAAAATCTTCCAAAAATCTGCATTTATGAATAAGCGTAGGAAAATCAGAAATTTCTAGTATTCCTACTGTTTTTCTCAATTCAGGCCTAAGTCCATTCTCAAATTTTATACACTTCATTCTTTCATCAGGGTGATAAAAGAATGCATAGTATTTTTCTAACTCTTCAAACTTAGAGGCATATTCTCCTACTGCCATACTTCATTACTTTAATTGCATAAATTCTATTTCTTTTGCCCTCCTCACATCATTAGGAAAATATTTTTCTAAAAATTTTGTTCTAAACACCTCCAAAGTAATGATTATTCTTCCTCTTCTAGTAGTCTCCTGGTACTATCTCACTATTCAGCCTCTCCTGTCAACATAAACACAACATAATTCACCTTTTGGTCATCAGGACAATTCATAACTTGAAATATTTTTTCTAATTCTTTAATCCATAATTCAGCCTTTTCTGGATTATAACCTCCAGAAAATTGCAAATGTTTGTTTCTTCTAAATTCAACTAAATCTTGTTATCCATTGATTTCTTCATGTCTTTGGTTCCTTAATAATGCAGCGGTCATGTCTCGGATAACTTGTACCGCTTCTGTCAACTCGTTATTCCTTCTATTATTTGCCATATGGAATTATATAAGTTAGGATTCATAAGATATCATGACGGACTCATTTCACAGAGTTACACATGAAATGTTACTCCGATACCATCTAATGTGACACATTTTTTTTATTATTATTTATATAAGAGTAGCATGTTAAATAAAGATATTACATATATGTAAAAGTAATTTATATTACTATATATATATATATATATATATATATATATATTTTAAGATATACAAAAGAAGAAGGAATTTTATTTATTTTTTATTCCTTCTATTCTTATTACAATTTTATAAATATCTACATTCATTGGTGGAAACAAACTAATTAAGAGATTTTGGTAAATGATAGGAGACATACAAAAGGTAACCACTACTAGTCTGCCTAACATAATGAGATTTCTCATATCGGATGTAAATGTTAATATTGATAATTTTGTCTCTTTAAAAGTAACCGAGATTGTCAATAACGTTTGTATTTCAAGTAGTTCCTGGAAAGAAGACGATGATGCTTGCAGAAAGGGATTTGAAATATTTTGGCGCCTCCATCTACTTAAGTTGGTATTTAAATAAAACATGCACAAAAGATCATAATAGGGAGTGAGAACATTTATCATTTACAATAATATAATTTTAATATATATATATATATATATATATATGTTTTAACTTCCTCAACACATTCTATTTTATGAAGATTTAAATTAAATTTATAAGTGACTAGTCGGGATAAATGAACTCAATTTTAATCACTCTCTCAGCTTATATTTACTCATTTAAATCCTCAAGGTCCAATCTCCATCTATAATATCATCAAATCTTCACAAATAGATATTATTATAAAAAAATAATTAAATAATATAATTATAAATTAATAAATAGGATCATTAGCATTACTAGAAATAAAATAAAGTAAACAAACAGGACCAATACATAAATGAAGATAATTAAAATATGATCAGTCGCAAGACTGGAGATGAAATAAACAAGCATATAACAGGATCATTACATATATAGTTAGAGATAAATAAACAAGTAACTAAATAAATAAAATGAGGTTAGAGATACCTCACTCCACAACTATAATCAAAATAAAATAAATTTAATGAAAATATTATCCTCCCCTACCTTAAGAACGGCAAATGATGTACCAAAATTTTGCAGAGACAATTTTATCTTTCTCTTTATTTTCTCTCCTTATCTTTCTCTCTTTCCCTCTCTTTCTCTTCCTCCTTCCCTCTTTCTTTCTCTTTCTCCCTTATCTTCCTACGGATATTCCCAGTTGGACCCTTTTTATAGCAATTTTTATTTATTTATTTAATTAAGTAATAATTATGATTTTGATAAGGTTTATCTTTTAGGATAAAATAACTTTATTATATATATATATATATATATATTAAGAAAATTAATAATTTTCTTTTCTTTCATATTCATGAATATAACAAAAAAAATATATATATATATATTAATAATTTAATAATAATAAAATTCTTTTAATATAATATATTATACGTGGAAAATGATACATTTTTGAGACGTTACACTACTGAGAAATGACAGAGTAATTTAAGGAAATAAAGGGCTATGACTAGATTATTATAAAATAAATCACCTTTTGATCACCAATTCTTGTTAAAAGATTGAGGTTTGTTATTTAGAAAACTTTCACTATCGAAAAAGGAACCATTGAAACTGATACAGGTAGCCTGCCATTTCCAAAAAGTGAAACAAGGTCATTATTTCAATTCAATGTTTAAAGCTGTCAAGTATTCATCTGCCAAACAAGTTGTAAGTTATCAGGAAACTGAAAAATACTTCTAAGATCAGATCCACGATAACCAGTCAACCCTGAAGAGTATAATATAATCAATTCACTTGCATTGCTACTTCTATCTTTTGCCTCACAATGTGGAAAGAAAATAGAGTTCGACTTCAACTTAAAAGACAACTCCATAACCCCACAATGAAAACACACACTTCGAAAACAAAAGATTTCAAAGCATTCTCACTAAAACATGCTTAATTTCGACATCCACTTCCAATCAAACCGTGTGATCTTCACAAAGAAGCAAGAAACCTCATCCTCAAATCAAACTCCATGACTATCGCATACCATCAAGTCAACTATACCCCTTATGCAAACTAACCATATGTTCAGTTCAGAACACGATGTCAGATATATTTTCAAAACACAAAGCAATCTCCTTCAGAGTAAATAACCTTTCCAGATATTCCTATCTCTTATTGCATACCACATTAATAAAGAAAAAAAATATAATCTATTAAAGTCCAAAAATTAAAGAGGAAAGTGAAAACCTATCAAGATGCATCGATCTAATCAAAGACTAAATTATTCACGAGTCCAAGATCTCTGAAATAAAATAAACAAAAATAAGTAAAACTGTTTATAATCAAATTCCATATATTCAATGAAAGATATTCAGATCCACAAACTCCCCAAAATATAAAACCAAAAGAGTATTTATATATATAAAACAGGATGAAAAAGTAAATGAACACAGCAGAGCAAACATAGAATTAAGACTTAAGAGTGAAGATTGGAGTCAGAGGGAAGAGAGGTAGTGGGTTGAGTGACAAAAAGAGGATGATCATCGTTGTCGATGCTGAGGTTGATGCAAGAACAGCGCTCCAAGGAAGCAAAGAAAGCAGAGGCCACGTTGGCACCGACCCAGTTGGCCATTCGATCCAGTTTGTCACACGACATGAACCCACAGGAGTTGATGTTATTGTTGCTGCTGCCGTTAACGTTGTCCATTTTGGGTGGTTCCTAATCAAACTCTGTGTGTGCAGAGAGATGAAGATTGTGAGAACAATAGTACAGAGAGAGTGCTATCAATTTGTTCTTTTTCCACTTTTTGACTTTTCTTCATCAATTCAATTTCAATCTCTTAGGTTTTTATCCAATTTCATGCCTCAATTTCCGTGTATATACTAGTTACTGATTGCTTTTATGATTTACCATCACTTTTGACTGTGAAAACAAAACTGACTAAATTTGAAATTTGAATTTGACAAGAGTTAGATAGAAAGGAAGAGTGGAGAATACACACGTTATCTGTTTCTTACTAAATAAGAAAAATTATAACAAAATTTCATAAATATAATGATTTTATTATACACATAATTAATTATGATCAAACATCTGAATTATAAGTAAAATTTAATAAGGAGGAAAGTTTTCATTCCCCTAATTTTTTTTTCCTTTCATCAAAGTCACATAAATCCCATTTTTATCCCGCTATGCTAAAATAATTCATATTTATATTATATATATATATATATATAATTCGAATTATTAACATAAAAATATATAATAATTTATTAAAAGAGAATAATTATGTAAAATATTTTTATTATATTTTTTGACTATTTTCTGAACTTTGGAAAATCACATTTCTTTCTTGAATTTAAATAAAAAAAAATTTCATTAATCACTTTTCATTTCTTTCTTACCTGTCTTTATGAACATTTATATATTCTCAAAAAAATATAAATTTAATATTTTTAGCCATCAAAACTTTTTATTATCAAATATTAAAAAAAATATCTATCTCAATTTTGAAAAATCAACATAACATTTTTATATTACATATATATTATCATATTAATAAATCTTTAATTTAATTTATGTAAGGTTTTATTAGACATTTTTTAATAGATATCTCAATGGAATTTTTTTCATCATTTATCTAATTGTATAAATTTTTTATAAATTAATTTATTTTATATATACAAAATAGATAAAAGAAATATGTTATATATGATAAAATAGAAGAGCACAAATTTGTACGAAGAAGAACAATAATTGTACCTCGAATCATGAAAAAAAAAGAAAAAATAATAAAAAGAAAAGTTATTTATACTTCTTTTCCACTTCAATTTTCATATTTTCATTGTAAACATCCACTGTCCATTTCCCACAAAAGTAAGTATGAATATTATTTGTTTCAAGTGGATTTGAGAAAACAAATTTTAGGGAACAAGTGGATAAAACTTTCTCGAGGAAATAGTTTTACACTTGTAATTTTACATAACTACCCTTTATATTTTTTCATTTTCTTCATTGTTTCCATAACAGAGTTGCATGCTGCAATATTCGTTCCTTCCAAATATTTTTGACGATCCACTATTAAGATTATCTACTTTGTTGATCATGGACGGAGGTATCTAAGCTTTTAAATGTCATAAAAAAACTCATGAATGTTTCTTCTAGTAGCTAAGCTTCATTAAAAATCCATGAATGATTGTAGTTGGCTACTGTGTTTATATGTTATAAGGGTTGTGCATCTTCGTCAAAGAAAAGCTAGTTCACTTGTGAAGTTGGGAGGTGGTTGATTCGTGTGTTCATTTAGTTAATATTATTATTTGATTTCATTGGGACTTCATAACATGCATGGTTGAAAATTAATTATTGAATCAATTAGAGACTCAAATAACGATTATTTGTGAAAGAGAATCGATTATCAATCAACCAAGAATCAATTTTATGTGATAATAAAAAGGTCAAAATCAAATCTTTTTAATGGTCATAATGGTATTACTTATAGATTTATAGTCATTATTGTCATCTTTAACATCGTCAAAATCTTATACCAAATCTCCTTCCTTATTCTCTAAAATTGAGTGCTTTACGAGCTTAATTATGACATCATCATTTTACTTAAACTTATGCAACTTAGGCATGACAACGGGACGAGTTTTGTCTTATCGATCTTCGTCCCCAACTTTTTTAACTGTCCTTGCCCCTGTTCCCGCTTTCGTTCACATCTCCGATTTATATTATTTTTAAAAATATAATTATATCTATAATAAATTAATTTTATTATGTATCTTTTATATATAAATAAGTATTTATAATGTTACAATTTGTAATTATTATTAATTAAATATAAATTTTAATTTATTATATTTATATTAAAATATGTATATAAAAGAAATATTAAATTATTTTATATATATATATATATATATAATATTTATATTATTATTATTATAATACTGTATTTAAATATTTGAATACTTATAACATTATTATTATTATTATTATACGGTATTACATATATAAATTAATTCATTTTTAAGTTATCATTTAAAAATATGAAATATATAGTTTATAAGAAATATTTAATAATTTAATTCTTATTTAGTTAGTTCGAAAGTAATAAAATTTTAAATTATTAATTTTTTTTAATCCTTTGAAATATAATTATTTTATTAAGATAAAATTTGATACATGACAAATAAAAATAATAAGATCCAAACAAATATGATATAATAAAACCTAATAAATATAAATTATAAATAAAATAATATTAGTTACTACTAAGATTTATGTAAAATATTTAGAAAAATATAAAGATGAAAAAAAAAACTTTGTGTTCATCAAATTGGTTGAAAAGATTAAAATAAATAAATAAATTGATTGGAGAGATTAAGGAAATATGAAAAACTAAAAGGTAAGAGAAAGAGAATAACATAATAAACTAATTGATATAAAAAATTAAAAAAGACAAAAAAATAAAAAAGTGGGTAGAAAAAAAAGTAAAAATGGTAAAATATAAAAAAATGACGTTATATATAATAGAAAAAAATACTTTTAAAATATTAATATTTTAAATTTAAATATAAAGTTGAGGCGGAAACAATATCGGGATTGCATTACCTATTCCAGTCCCCGATTTTTTAAAGCGAGAAAAATCCCGAATCTGTCATCACCTCACCCCACCAAACTCGGAATGAGGACAAATCAGTCTCCACAAGTACAAATTTAATTGTCATCATAATGCAACCTATAAGAATACCGCTTCAGAAATTTTCATAATTAATCCTACTAAGTAGGACTTTCTCATAAATATGTTTAATAACCTCATTTTCTTCAAGCAATTCCCTACTCTTCTTCTTCTTATTAAACTATAACCTAATTTTCACCAAATGTAAAATAAAAAATTAGTTTTAATTGCAATTTTTACTTAGTAGTAATATTTCTTAATTTAGTTTAATAATAATAATATTATTATTATTATTAATTATTGCAATATATAATAAGAATAATAATTATAATTATAAAAATAATAATTTTTAATAATAATTTTAAGAATAATAACCATTTTTCATCTTATTAATTAAAAAATAATAATAGTTCAAGTATCTATAATACTAAATTCTAATAATAATAATTTTAACTATAAAGATAATTTCATAATTTTTCAAAATTTTTCATTAAAATATTTCTTTTATTATTCACATCAATCAAATAATTCACAAATTTTCACAATCTTTTATTTTATTTTTCTATACTTCTTTTCATAATCTTTTATTTTATTTTTCTATATTTTTTACCATCTTTTTCTGAATTCAAATAATCTCACTTTCACCTCTATTTTCTCTCAAATTTATCCATTTTCATTCTTCAATTGTATCCTTTATATCCTTGTACAACATAAAAGTTCTGTGTTTGAACCTTCGTTTAAACTTGAAGCTTTTAAAAGAAGCGTAGACCATACAAAATTTGCAGGTGTTGGAGACCTTGACTTTTCATAACAGATTACAAATTATAATAAATGGATGATAAAAACGACAACTAATAAAACAAGTCATACATCAAATAATTAAACTTGCAAGATAATCAAGTCCTTAACCACTAAAGTTCAACACACAAACAACGACAGTATATGATGTTTTCTACGGGGAAGACTTTACTTAATCACCAATAACATTCTAAACTTAACAATCATTCTTTCAAATATTTGACCCAATAACATGCTTAAAGATCTGAATTGAAAATTATCCTTTGATTTTAGAAATTTCCATGTCAGTTAATCTATACATATAATTCTCGTTTTTTTTTTTTATACATTAGTTTTTTCGACAACTTTTTAGGTTGGTAGATATGAATCATCATGCATATCATTACATTTATTGAACAATAACTCAACCACTAATATACTTTCTTTTACATACTATAATCAATACTAATACTAGGTTAAAGTTTATAATTTATTGAGATTTTAAATTTAAATGATTTTTAGATTACATATCTTTTACAATAAATAAATGCATTTCTTATTTGATAACGAATGATGATATTACTTTTTTTAATTAGATTTTTGTATGCATAACGGGAATAAAATATATTACAAATATATTTTTTTATGACTTTATAACATAGGAATAAATATTATCATGTTTAAAGGTTTTTAACAAGATTCTTGAATTTCCTTAATTTTTTTACCCTTTTTGGAAAAAAAAGTGATTCTTTACTATTATTAAAACTTTGTCTTTTGAAGGCTTTTAGTGGGATTCTTTAATATTCTTAGAACTCATTGACTAATGTGTTATGGGACAAAAGTCTTTTCATTAATTTTAATTGTTTAATTGAAATGCAAGACTTGTACGAAAATACATAATTATTTGTTTTTTAAATTCAATAAACAAAAATTTAAAATATCTTTGTCATGATCTTTTTAATATATTTCTATTATTTTAATATTATTTAAAATTGTGGTTGACATGTTACTATTATAATCATTAATACAATCATTTTTCCATAATCACTGTTATTATGTTTTTTATTATATTTTTGCCAATAACTTGTAGATTTTTTTTCCATACCAGTTAGGTAAAATATAATGTTTTAATTTTATTTTATTTTTGTTTTCTAAAAGAATAAAATTTTCAAAAAACCTTCGTGTTACTTTTTTAAGGGTATATTGAAAATTAAGTTTTTTCTTTAATTTATTATTTTCAATTCTGGTTCCTTTACTGTTTTTCTATGCTCTAGTCCTTAAATTTTTTAAAATCTACAAATTTAATTTATTCCTTAAATTTACGCATGTTTATTTATTTTTAATCTCTGCATTAAAACTAATTAACTTATTCTATAATAATATTTAAAATAAATATGTTAGCTTTAGAGTTTAGTCAACCAAAATAAAATGAACAAAACACAAGTAAAATAAGGATTAAATTAAAATTATTAATATTGAAAATTTTAAAATAAAATTACAAACAAAAAAACTAAAATAGACTAAAAATTGTAGACTAGAAACTAAAAAGTAACAAAATTAGAAATTGAAATTTTATAATCAAAAGATTATTATTATTATTATTATTATTATTTTTAAAGGAATCTAACACGAAATTAGGAAAGACAGAAGCTGGTCAAAAGAGAGCAAGAGATAGACATGCAATTTTACCTCATAATTATTACTTCCTTCACAAAGACAAAACACTTTAAATATAATTTTGGGATTTTGTTTTATTAATTCCAAACTATTAAATTATGATTTATTAACATATGATACCCCATTTTTTTACTTTTTTAATAAAGTCAAAATAATGTCCTGATAACACATTTATGTTAACACAAATGTATACTAACAACTACAAACGCAGTGTGCTAAAATAAAACTCACAATAAGCCCAGAATTAGTATCGGCTAAGTTGATTGAGAAAGAAATATATATTAAATTAAAGTTTTAAACGTCTTTTAACGAGATTAAAAATATATTTAATTAATATATTTTAAAAAATCATCTCAATATGTATATGTGGCATAAAATTATTCATCCCGTGGCAAGAGCAAATAAATACCACCCTGCAGAATTGCATTCATTGAGCAATACAAGAAGAAGCCATTGCTGCAAGTAAGCAATTGCAATAACATAAGCAAAGGAGAAAGAACAATGATAAACTAAATTCTCTCTGTATCAATTCAATTACTGCACTATACTACTCTGTTCTGTAATCATGGACTTTATTTCTCTGTTCTTCCCTTTTTTCCTTGTCAAGCTTGTCCTCAAACTGAAGTATCCCAATTCCCCCATCATCACGCTTCTCTTCCAAGCGACCTTCCACCACTACCACCCCTAATCCATTGCCCTTTCTCTCTCTATTTATCGCTTCACAATTTTCACAACAAACCCAACAATTCCCTTTTCTCTTTTCCAAATCCCTAAACACAAATCATCAAACTTCCCTCCTTGCATCTCCGCCCACGATCCCAAACCCACAAATTCAACAATATCCATTAAAATTCCCCACAAAAGTTTCAGTTTTGACTTTTGGGCACTCCTCCATTCAATCTTTTCCCATGCCACCTCAAATGCAGCCCTTTGCTGATTACCTTCGCGCCCCGCCGCACCCAGACGGCGGCGATCGGCGGACCCCAATCCCGCCGCTGAACCGAACCGTGAAGAAGACGCTGGTAGTAGAAGAGTCCTCCTTGGACAACCCGGATCTAGGCCCGATCCTTCTGAAGATGGCCCGAGAAACAATAGCGTCCGGTGAGAGCCCGGTGAAGGCCCTGGACTTCGCCATTCGGGCCTCAAAGTCGTTCGAGCGGTGTGCGGGCCCGGGGCTGGAGCTTGCTACGTGTCTCCATGTGGTTGCTGCGATCTACAGTAGTTTGGGGCGGTTGGATGAGGCGGTTGAGGCTTTGGAGCGGTCCATTTTCTTGTTGGAAGGGGAAAACGGGTCGGATCATGCAATGGCCCAGTTTTCCGGGTACATGCAACTTGGTGACACGTATTCCATGATTGGACAGTTGGACAGGGCTATTTCTTGTTACAAGTCGGGTTTGCAGATCCAAATGGATGTTCTTGGTGAGTCCGACCCGAGAATCGCTGAGACTTGTAGGTAAAGTAACACCATCATCTTATCCATTATCCATAAACTCGTTACCATTTCTATGGCCCACATGTCTTTGTAATTCTTCTTTTATTTTCAACGTAATCTTTTCCATATTTTATTGATTTTATTTTCATTCTCTCTGACATACATTTCTTTACTACCAAATTAAATTTATTTCCTCTCAGAGAATAATATTGATTTGGATTGACTATGCACGAGAAAAAAAAAAGGTTTGAGAATTGACTTGTTTACTATTTTGATAATGATTTTTTATCTTTCTCTTCTGGTTTTGCTGCTCTACAGTTACATGTTTTTGTTAATTTGATTATGAATTTGAAGAAAAATTTCGATTTGATTATTTCTGTTTATAAACTAATTGATTTAAATTAATTTCTACAAATAACTAATAAATCAACATGAATGTATCAGGCTATCTGCAGTCAAATTTTTTAAGAGAATTACTGGCAATTCATCTGTACAAATAGGGCCTTGATGTTGGAAAAATACGGGACAGTGTGTTTGCTGTTACCTATTAAAATATTACTATATTGGTATATATCATTTGTAGCCTTTATCATATGGCAATCACATTTGCAGGGACACCCACATGCTTCACCCCAAATTTGTATAATTTAAAATATCAAATAATAATGAATCACTGATGTGCTGGACCCGGTATTGATAAGCATGTAGCTGTTGGCCACAATTGCTTTGGAATCTACTGTGAATCTGGGAATGTCCGTTTCAAAATCTAAAGCATTTTCCTAAACTATAAAGAGCTATTGAATTGGCTTAATCTTCTTGGAACTAAGCTATGATGGTCCCTCTCATACTCTATCATACACGTGTCTGATTTCTATTTTCAAAGGCTCATTTTAGCTTTAGAAAATGAATCTCTCAGTTGTTTCAGTATTTATTTTGGTTTTTAAAGAAATTTGCAAGAAAATAATTGGATTTGTTTTTTTACGTGGAATTGAGTGTTGGGAGTTAAAAAGCGAAAAGAAAATCAGACCCTAATTGTCTAACCATATAACAAAATGCTCTTATTTTCTTTACTGTGGCATATACAAAAAGATCCTTCCTTTTGTTGTACTTGAAGAAGCAGCAGAAAATGCTGCATCCTTAAACATGTACTCACAGCCATCTTCTGACCAGCTGGTTAATGAAATTGAATGAATAGCTTTAAAATCACAAGAGGCAGTATGACCAAGGAGTTTGGATGCAAATTGTTTGATCTTCTTTTCTTACTCTGTTGGGATGAAATAAGTTGAACTGCTCTATTGATAATAAATTAATAATGATTTAAAATTAAGAATGTGAACATTACTGTAAATAACTTAATTTTGTGACCATTTTACTTAGCTCTCTGTTGATAGCACCTTAAATTAGACCACTTGTTAAGAGTCTCTAAGTTTAAAGTACAGTTTCTCTTCAGGTGAAACCCTTGTCATATAATTTTTTTTCTAAGTGAACCTCTTGGAAGAAATAGTGTGTTCTTTCTGTGTTGTGATGGGCATAAGGGAATGGAGAAATGGCAATACAATTGCTTTTCTACCATTGTTTATGTTTATATATTGTCAATATCATGTCTGGTTAATAGGATAAGAACACTTATGTGATGTGGTGCTGAAAATTTCTCTGAATAATTGCTTTCCATGAAGGGCAGGTACTTAGCTGAAGCCCATGTCCAAGCCATGCAATTTGAGCAGGCAGAGAAGTTCTGCAAGAAGACCCTCGAAATCCACAGGGAGCATTGCTCTCCTGCTTCCCTTACCGAAGCAGCCGACAGGCGTCTAATGGCCCTTATATGTGAGGCCAAGGGAGATTATGAACCAGCTCTTGAGCACCTTGTCCTAGCTAGCATGTCCATGATCGCCAATGCACAAGATAATGAGGTTGCAGCTATTGATGTTAGCATTGGTGATATTTACATGTCACTCTGTCGTTTTGATGAGGCTGTTTTTGCCTACCAGAAAGCACTGACAGTGTTCAAATCCACCAAAGGCGAAAGCCACAGTTCTGTGGCGTTAGTGTACATTCGCCTTGCAGACCTTTACTACAGGACAGGAAAATTAAGAGAATCAAAATCGTATTGCGAAAATGCCTTAAGAATATACAGTAAGCCTGTGGTTGGAACAACGGCAGGGGAGATTGCAAGTGGGTTGACTGAAATCTCTGCCATCTATGAAGCTCTAAATGAGCCTGAGGAGGCACTGAAGCTGCTGCAGAACGCAGTGAAATTGTTGGAGGATATCCCTGGACAACATAGGACAGTGGCAGGAATAGAAGCCCAAATGGGAGTGATGTTCTACATGGTTGGGAGGTACACGGAGGCATGGAAGTCTTTTGAGAATGCTATCACCAAGCTGAGAGCAAGTGGGGAGAAGAAATCCACCTTTTTTGGAGTCGTATTGAACCAGATGGGGCTGGCATGTGTGCAACTGTATAAAATAGGGGACGCTGCCAAACTTTTTGAGGAAGCAAGAGATATATTAGAAAGAGAGTATGGTACATATCATTCTGACACTCTTGGAGTGTATAGCAATCTTGCAGCAACTTATGATGCCATGGGGAGGTAAACATCTTTTGTTTCTATATATCATTATGTGTCCCTTTGTTTGGTTTTCTCTCTCTCTGCTGTCTCGCAAATACTTGGACTATCATCTTGCTGCCCCGTAGAAATTGCATGATTATCACTCATTGTGCTGAGACAATTCTTTCATGGAATGTCCTAAGAAATGAGTGGTCCCCTCTTCATAATTTGACTTAAAAATGAAGCTTGATGATTGTGCATATCATTATGTTATCCATTAAGTATTGAATTTAACGGCATTAAGATATAATGATGCTATGATTGTTTCTTGGTGGATGATTTTGGTTTTAATGTTGTGTACAGAGTTGATGATGCCATTGAGATATTGGAATACATACTAAAAATGAGAGAAGAAAAACTTGGAACTGCTAATCCAGATGTTGATGATGAAAAGAAGCGACTATTTGAGCTTCTGAAAGAGACAGGAAGAGTTCAAAATAAAAGGGGGAAAAAATCTCTTGAAAACCTTATAGATTCCAATTCCTTAAAGATGAAGAAGGAACGGAAGAAAAGATGGGCTGCTTTTGGTTTGAGAACTTAAAACAAGTTTTCTCTTTTCTATCTAAACCCAAAAAAAATCCTCCCTTATATGTTAAATTAATTAAGAGTAATGATAGTTTCTCATATTTTTTTGTTACTTAAAATATAATTTTCATAAAAAAAGGAGCGCTGGTGATTAATATTTTAAGAATTCTGTAAATGAAAGTCATGTAAAAGTGATATATATATAATTCAATTTTGTGTTTGTTCTTGCTGATTTTACTTTTTCATATGATTTTCTCGACATTGCTGGTAACATTTTAGACCCTACAATAAAAACCACTAATTTTGGAGTATCAGTTATTGAAGTTGTCAGAGATATTGAGTTGGACCATTAATTTAATTAATGAGTTATTTTGTGAATATTTAATAAAGACTAGTACTGATTAAATTATTACTTACCAATAAATGCATGTAGTGTAATTATTGTCTTTAGTTGACCTCGTAAATAATTGGACTCAAGTTTAATGTTCAATAATATTAATTTTTTTTCATCTACTAAAATGAATAACATTTGATTTTTATAAGATGAATGAATTGGACATGGTGATTAAAGTAGTTGAAAATCGTCATAAATATATCAAATAATTATTTTTAATGTGTGTATTATCCATGAATATGAATAGATGGAGGGGAGAATTAAACTAGAGTATTTTTAATTTAAATATATCATGAAGCTGGGTTTTAGATACTAAATTTATTGGCTGCTAAATAAACTTGCAAATCTCCTAATACACTGCATGCTTATGCAAAGCTCAACTACAACCTGCCTCACAACTTGGGGAAAGAAACAACAATGAAATCTTATTCCTGTCAAAACATTTTGAGAAACCTTTTCAAATCAATTTTTTGCTCATAACATAAATAAGGTGACAGGTTTTTTTCCTGTTTCAAATCTTTGTGTGAAAGGAATTCTTCATAGTGTGTATTTAAAAGAATAGAGAATAAAGTTGTATTGACACACCTTCAGAAAATTCAAGTTTATTTTTTTCATGATAAATGAAAACATTCGAACACTATTAGAGCATTATCAATCTACTTAAAACAAATGTACTAATGTACCCTCAACATACGTTAATAGGCTAATTAACATTTCTTTTACTAAATTAATATCTTGACATTTTTTCTAAATTTTTATAAAGAAGATTCTATTTGATTATGTGTCGTTATAAAGTAATAATTATAAAAATGAAAAAAGAAAAAAAATTAAACAATTACATAATAATAAAAAAAACCGAAATAAAAAACTGCCAGACCAACAGATACAGATACATAGATGCTCTTCTTCTACTTCTTCCTCCGATGATAGAAGGAGAGGAACAATGAAAGAATCAGAAACGGAATCAGATGCATCAATTCGAAACACGAAGATGAACCCCATCGATCACCTTCCCCTCCGTCTCCTCAGATCCGACACGGTTCCACCCGCCCCTACCTTCTCCGAATCCACCGTCGATTTCCTCCCTCACTTCTGCGGCTACTCTTGGATCGCCTACGCCGCTTCTTCCCTCCTCGTCATCTCTCACTTCCCTTCTCCTCTTTCCCCTTACCAATCCCGCATCGGCCCCATTTTCCGACAATCCTTTCAGCTCTCCGGCGATCCCCTCGCCGCCGTCGCCTGGTCTCCTCACTCCCCATCCTCGGGTGACCTCGCTGCCGCTGCCGATTACTGCATCTGCCTATTCCACCACAACCCCACCGCAGCTAAAGGTAACTCCGACTTTCACTCTCTCTTTGCTTCAATTGCTGAAATTTAATAGCTTCAGTTACTCATTTCGTCCATATATTTACACAATCTTTACGTTTTACGTGTAAAAACTACTCGGCGTAGTTCCTACACATACACTACACATTTTTAACATTCACTTCTTATAATACGTTTAGTCTCTAAAATTCTGAATGGCATTGACTACAACGGATTTAAGAAGTGTATATAGAAACTAACACAAGTAGCTTTTAGTTGTAGGGACTGAAAGTTAAAAATGTGTAGGTATAGGGACCATATAGTAATTAAACCAATTCAATGTTTTAGATATATTATGTTCTTTAATTGTTGAATTTTAACGTGCTTGTGTGAGACAAGTAAACTGAAGCAACAATGTTGACTTTCTACTGAGGGGCAGGGAGGATGGTTCTTGAGTCATAATATTGGGTTCACATATTTATGACTATTATGTTTCATTTTCACACGTTTATGAAAATGAAAGTTAGATATGTCATGTTTGAATAAACTTCTAGGAGAAGAATGGAAAATGAATTGAATTTCTGTGAGTTAAAATCTACTTATGCATTTAACTTGTATAGAACATCTCTCCTTGAACTTGTTCAAAAGATGAGGTGTATAAGTTGGTTTTAGCTTTAATTTCTTATTATCTTTTCGTTAAGTGCTTTGTGAGTTCTGGCTTTTGAGAACTGGTCCAACAACCATTTTAAGAAAGTGGAGATTTCAGTGACCATTCCAAGGTTGCCTTCTGGATAAGTTTTAGTTCAAAAGAGAACTCAATTACTCAAAGTTTACACTGGTTATTAGTGTCTTCCATATTGTTTGAAGTATAAGACAATTAAATAGGACCTCCATGTATTGTAAAGTTTGTCTCCACCTTTACAAGAGTTTATCATAAAATGGGATCAATGTCTATTATGGAGAGGTTTTAGATATATGCAGAGATTGGAAAACTTTGATTATTTGTTTTGATTTTCTTGTTTGACCAGGTTTGTTTTGTTTTTATTTCTCTTTGAAGGATGTCTTATCCTCTGTTCTTCCACTTCTTTCAATCCTGTTTCTAATATATTTATTCTTATTACAGAGAAAAAAAGAAAATTTTACATTAGGAAGAGTCATCTCTTTTGTTAGTTCTATATATTAAAAACACAATCTTGTCACTCATATTCAGGTTCTTTTTGTTGGAGCCAGAATGCAGTGCTTGTACAACAAACGAAAGTGGCAAACATCAAATGGACAGGATCAGGAGATGGAATCATTTCTGCTGGAATAGAGGTGGTTTTCTGGAAAAAGAACAACAAATGTTGGGAAGTTGCTTGGAAGTTTAAAGCAGATCAACCCCAAACTCTTGTTTGTGCAACATGGTCCATTGAGGGCCCTTCAGCAACTGCAGCACATCCTAGTAAAGACCAGATTAAAGGGGCCTTGACCAATGAGGAAAGCAAATGTGTAGTAGTATGTCAAAGCAATGGACCATCTGAATATTCAAAAGTCAAGCTGCATCATCCCCTACCTGTTGTAACGATTCAATGGAGACCATCAAGAGGAAAGCTATCAAACAGATACGGTAAATGTTCAGTAAGGCATGTATTGTTGACATGCAGCTTAGATGGGACTGCAAGGTTATGGAGTGAAATTGATAATGGAATGGCCAGGAGAGTTGGGAAGGACATCAATGATCAGAAGAATGCAGGATGGTCTTTTTGTGTTGTTGCTGTTATTGAGATTAATCATTCCTTAAATGGAACTCTTGGTTCAGATATATTTTTGAGATGGGGGACAGAATTTGAGGGAATATTTAGAACTGGTGAAGAGGCCAAACAAGTTTTTTCCAAAGAAGGATTTGAGTATGATGTTAGAAATTGTGATTGGATAGTTGGGTTTGGTCCTGGAATGTTGCTTAGCTTTTGGGCTATCCACTGTCTTGATGATATTTCCCCATTGAGATTCCCCCGAGTTACGTTATGGAAGAGACATGAACTCCAGAACCATGACATAGCAAATGTTTACAAATTTAACTCATCTGATTTTAAAAATGCATTATTACTTCCAAAGTTAATTTTATTGAGAAACTGCCTTTCTGGTCCACCTATTATATGCTCTCCACTTCAGCTATTGCCTTGCAATTCCTTAATTTGGTCAAATTTTCGTATTCTAACAATACAAGATGCAGTGGAGAACTCCATTGATAATGGTAACGCAGATAACATGTCCTCCTATTTGACTGGTGGGGTTTTGAACTTAGATGGTCATAGTGGGAAAATCTTAAAGGTTTCAATTCATCCTTATACATGCAAGGTTCAATTAGCTGCTTCTCTGGATTCTAATGGACTGCTTCTTTTTTGGTCACTTTCTAACATTTCAAACTGTATTTTGGGATGTCCAACATTGGTTCCTACCATGGAACTCTGTGGAAAGCTTGCGACTCAAGACTCTTGCTCCTTGTACACAAGCTTGACATGGGCTCCGTCAATAATTGGTGACAAACTGTTCTTTTTTATGGGACATTCCCGGGGGATTGATTGCTTCATAGTCAATATTTGTCGAACTGAAGAAGAAAACATTGAATGTCACTACTTATGCACTATTCCTTTCACTAGTCATGGTCCTTATGAAGATGGCCCTTTTGATATCTTTACAATTCCTTTGAACTCCACCTGTGACAAAGCTTTTTGTAATAATAAACTTATGCTGTTGGCAGTATGGATGGGGAGATTTCAGGCCCTATCGTGGGAAGTTAACTTGCACTCATTTGACATGTCAACAAACTGTTGTTGTAAATGCAGTTTTGATGCTAAAAGCATTGATGACTGTAGTGTTTGGGCATTTGAAAGTACATTTGCTGATAAAAAATATTGCATTACTGTAAATCCATGTTCATGTGAGTTTCCAAATTCAAATGATCTGGTTACTAGTTTTGCTGTGGCTAATCCAGGCACTCCAAGCCATATACGACAAGAGTTTGGCTTTGCAAATGATCTTTGTAGTAGTTATCCTACATACGTCATGATCACAGGCTCCTCTGAGGGCATCTTGAAACTCTGGAAAAGTAATCTGGGGAACTCATTGACCCAACACTTGCCATGGGAGCTTGTGGGTTTGTTTGTTGCACATGATGGTCCAATCAAGGGTATATGTTTCACTGGTTGTGGTGAGAAGATTGCTACGGTTGGCCGTGAAAGCAATTCAAATGCTATCAATACCATACATATATGGGATGCAGTACCACTAATCAGTGCAGGGACTTTTATTTTGGAGGATAAAATAAAGACTGATAGTGATGTTATTGCTCTAAAGTGGTTAACTTTAGGAACAGGGGAGTTATTGCTTGGAGTTTGTTTGCGAAATGACTTGCAAGTATATGCCCCCAAGTGTTGTACTGGTGCAACTATGTCAAACTATGTAAATTTTCCGAAATTGAATATATGGGTTTGCATTGCATATGCTCACACTTCCATTCCAATTCATGATTTCTTATGGGGACCCAGAGCTGCAGCAGTGGTGATTCATGGAAATTACTTTAGTATATTTAGTCATTGGTTGTTCCTCATGGAAAAAAGGCAAGGGAGTAATTTTCATCCTTGTGATTTAAAGCCCAATGCCTACAATTACGAGGATGAAATATATGAAGACATACTTTCTGCAGTTTTTACTGATTATGACATTGGTGCTTTCAGAGAACAGACAGATGGAGACAGTCAAGTAGATGTTGATTCTATGAAATCCATCAAAATCAATATGAAGGACAATTCCAGTAGCTTGTTTCTGGCAAAGGAACAATTAGAATTTGAACTTCATACCAAGGTTGGTTTATGGAGCATCTTAGAGGTAGCTGAGATAATTAGTGGATCATTGCCTACTTATCACCCTGATATACTACTTACTAATATAAGTTCAGGTAATGGTTGAGTAAATTGTTAAGTATTACTAATTACTCAACTAATTTACTCAATTATGTGATGGGAATGATTGCATGTTTGTAATGTATTTTATAATTATTTTTAATGTTTTCAGGAAACTGGAACCGTGCTTATGTAGCTGTGAGGCATCTTGTTGAATGCCTGACTTTTAATTATGATCCTAACAAGAGACACATCTCCAAAAGAATTGGTCTTCCAAATATTGTTTTGTCAAATTATCTAGAAGGCTGTATATCAAAAGGTTCCCAAGGTAAGGGATTCCAGTGGGGTGGGGATGCAGCATCAATCACATCAATTTCACAGGCTCAAAGTAGCTTGTTCCAGTTTCCGTATCATTCAGGTTCCAGTGCTGAAAATGAAAGCATTTTCTCAACAAAATCTGAGCTTAATGGCTTTATTCAATCTCTTGAGAAATTTCCCGATTTACCACTTTTGATCGACATAGAGAAGACACAGATTCTTGCAATTATTGATCTTCTTAGTGAAGTTAGTAGTGCACACTCATCTTCTGCATATCAGAGTCTTGATGAACCTGGGCGAAGGTATTCATGAACTTATTTAATATCTGTATCGTGTATGTTACATTTCCTTTGACCTTTTTCTTGTATCTATGTTATTTTCTGTTTGGTAAATCATAAGTAAAAATTGTTGGAAGTGGAAGTGAAAGTGAAAGCGAATTTTAAGCCTAACTCAAGTGCCAAAAATCGGCTTGGTGAGGATTGTCCCACTTATATACTGTATTTTGGTACTATCTCTAATCGATGTGAGGTTTAGGTTTTTAGTTGATGTGAGATTGGGCTTTTAGTCTATTTGGGAGTTGGGTTTTTCCCTAGACACCATCTCACGTCTAACATTATGGGGCTTGGTATGTGGATAACATGGTGAGTGATCTTTTAACATATCTAAGATAGTCTTTAATAACCAGGATTAAAAAAGTAAAAAATGAACCCAACAAAATAGAACAGATTTGAAAAAAAAAATGTGAGACCAAAAAGAGAAAAAAAGGAAATGCAAGAACCAAACAGAAAAAAAAAAAAAAAAAAAACTTGAAATATGCAAGAACCAAACAGAGTCAGGGAGAACCAAAAGAAGCAACTAGAACCAAACAGAAACAGGACCAGGCCAAAAAAATCTCAACTGTGATGAAGAGCTTACAGGGACAACGAGAACTGTGGCATGTTGCAACAATGGTGACCTGCGAATAGTGGTGGCTGTGAACTTGAATGGCAGTGAGCACGAATGCTAACAAGAACGATGACTTGGGAGTGTGAATGCTAACTCGGAAGGGTTTATGAGTTGACCTAGAATTTGATAACCATGATGCATTTACATGAGAATTATTAAATTAAAACGTCGTGCATGGGACTTACTATAAGAGCTCTATTTGGGTCAGGGTAGATTCTTAACTATTCAGAGGGTGTGTTAACTATTTTAGGTGTTTTCTATTCTTAACATATGTCATGAGAAGGGCTGATATATTGATTGATCCTTCTAAAAGAAGTATTAGAAGAAAATAAATGTTGATCAAATAGTTTGTTTCTATTTTTCCTATTAGGCTATGAAAGGAATTTTTTTAATCTGATTTATACTATTAGATATTTTAGATATTATTAGTCACAATATATGCATTTACCATATTTATTTGTATGACTCTTAATTATAAATATATTATCCTATGTGTATTTTAGATACAAAAGGAATTAACCCTATACCTAGTTTTCACTATATTCAACATGGTATTGGAGTTAAGCCTAACTTCTTTGTGGTTGTTGTTTTGGGCAAAAAATTGTCCTTTCGTTGTGGGTCAAAAGTACCTTTTTCCTGCTCCGATAGATTTCGTTGGAGGGGGCATGTTGGAAGTCCCACATCGCCTACCTCATGTCATTTGGTATGGTTTAAATACCTATTAGGCTATTCCACATATTGCCAATTGGTTTTATGTTGGAACCTTAACATTGGAAGTCCCACATCGCCTACCTCATGTCATTTAGTATGGTTTAAATATCTGTTAGGCTATTCCACATATTGCCAATTGGTTTTATGTTGAAACCTTAACATGATATCTAGAGCTTAGGTTCTCTTTTTCTCTTTTTGTCGTCATCGCTGCCCTTGCAACTGCCATTGCTGCTTCCGTTGCCTATGCCGCCATCATCATCGGAGTCGGAGTCGGAGTCACACCGTCGTCGGAGCCGCCATCACCGTTTGTGTTACAATTCAGACTGACAACTACACCTTCTTCTTGTCTCTACTAGACAACCATCGCGCCATTGAAATCGCTGTGATCAGAGTCTCCACTTACTATTTAAAGTTTTTAGGGGCTTTCTCTCTCTTCTTCAATGACTTCTTTCGCTACCTCCCGATATCTCTTCTTCTACCACCAATCTGATCGACACGTTAGTCAATACTAATTATGTGAATGTGCACTTGTCTATTGATAAGTTAGATGACACTAATTATGGGACTTGGGCGTCAGACATTAAACTTTGGCTTAAAAGTCAGGGGTATGCTGATCATCTTACTCAAAATGTGACTACTATTGCTAGTAGTGAAGTTTCCCATTAGATGAAAATTGATGCTCAGTTATGCATCGTTCTCAAGTCTACCATTCACTCCTCTTTAAAGCAAATGTTTCATGCCTACGAAACGTGTTTCAAGGTTTGGGAATAGGCAAAATTATTATACACTAATGACACTCAATGTCTTTATGGGGTTTGTCACGATCTTCTCACTGTTGTTGCTCCTCGAAGTCATGACCCAATGGCTGAATATTTGGGTAAAATTCATGCTTTTCTTTATGACTTTAATGAGTTATTACCTCCTACCCAAGAACTAGAGCAACGGTCAAAGTTCTTCATGTTATTGGCATTACATGGGCTTGCTGATGAATATTCTCAGGTCCGTGATCAGATTTTGGGTTCCCCTATTGTGCCCAATTTCACTTCTACTTGTTCCACCATTTTGTGTTTGTCAAGTAAACACATCAGTAATATATCTCTGTCCGCCGATGATTCCTCTGCTTTGGGATCTCAACGTGATAATCGCAAGCCAAAAAAATAATGTCACAAGTGCGATCATTGTCATAAGCTAGGCCACAAGATTGATAGATGTTATGCATTACATGATCGTCCTCCTCGACTTACTGCAGTTGTCCAAACTGATCCTCCCTCACAATCCTTTCCTGTGGATCCTACTTCCTCTTGTACTGCAGACAAATCGGCTATTTTCAATGAATTTTTTAAATGGTATGAGGATCGTCACAACTCTAGTTCCACTGCTTCTGTTGCATGCACATGTACATCTTTTGTTGGCCTAAAACAGTTTCCTAGGGCCTGGTTTGGAAAATTTAGTAGTATTGTTCAACAGTTTGGTATGACTCGCAATGAGGCACATCATTCAGTATTTTATCGTTACTCAAGTGTTGGATGTATCTATTTAATAGTATATGTTGATGATATTGTTCTTACAGGGAGTGATCACCATGACATCTCCTAGATGAAGCAACACCTTTGTCACCACTTTCAAACCAAATATCTTGGCAAACTTAGATATTTCTTGAGGATTGAGGTAACACAATCCAATAATGACATTGTTATATCTCAAAGAAAGTATGCATTGGATATTTTAGAAGAAACTGAGTTGATGAACTCAAAATCTATTGACAATACTCATGGATCTTAATACCAAACTCCTACCTAATCAGGGGGAGTCTCTCTCAGATCCTGAGAAGTACAAAAGATTAGTTGGAAAATTAAACTATCTTATTGTTACTCATCCTGACATTTCCTTTGCAGTTAGTGTGGTGAGTCAATTTCTTAATTTTCCATGTGCAGATAATTGGAGTGAAGTCATTCGTATATTAAAGTATATTATAGGATCTCCTGAAAAAAGTTTGTTATATGATCACAATAACTAGACTAAGGTTGTCTATTATTTAGATGTTGACTGAGCAGGATCTCCTTCTGATAGAAGATTTACTTCCGGATACTATTTTGCTATTGGAGGTAACTTGATCTCTTGGAAGAGCAAGAAACAAAGTGTTGTAGTAAGATCTAGTCCAGAAGCAGAATATAGAGTTATGACCTCAACCACTTGGGAACTTGTTTGGCTTAAACAATTACTTAAAGAATTGCAATTTGGAGATATTATCACTTATATTTGATAATCAGGCTGTTCTTCATATTAGCTTTAATCCTTTTTTCATGAAAGGATCAGACACATTGAAGTTGACTGTCATTTTGTGAGAGAAAAGATTGTATCAGGAGACATTAAAATCGCGCTTGTTAACTCAAGTGAACAGTTAACAACTATTTTCATCAAGTTTTTACAGGGACTTAGAATTAATTATATTTGTAACAAGCTTAGTACATATGATTTATATGCATCAGTTTGAGGGGGAGTGTTAGATATTTTAGATATTATTAGTCACAATATATGCATTTACCATATTTACTTGTATGACTCTTAATTATAAATATATTATCCTATGTGTATTTTAGATACAAAGGGAATTAACTCTATACCTAGTTTTCACTATATTCAACATATACATTGTCAGCAATTTTCAGACATTATCTTTTCATCAACATGGCATGCATTTAGAATCATGTAATTTATCTTGTTGACTGTTACTTTGGCCCTTTGTGAACTATGCATTCTGTTAATATTCTTACCATGGAGATTCAACACGTGTAATGATATTGTAATATGCCAAAATTCTTCAAAGGTGGTTGTGGAACGGCAAAAATATTAGTGCCATTGCCAATGATGATTATGAATTAAATTAGATGATGATATATCTAAAAAACATGTGACGGTGGTGATCGGATCTGATGTGTGTATAATTAATTGACTTTGGGGAGTTGGTACATGAGTAATGTGATTTCTAAACTTTTCTTTGTAGATTTTGGGTTGCACTACGGTTTCAGCAACTGCTTTTTCTCCGAAAGTTTGGCAGAGCTGCGTCTTTTGAAGATTTGCCTGTTAACTCAAGGTTGTTTGTATGGGCTTATCACTCTGATTGCCTAGATAATTTATTTGGTTCTGTCATACCCAATGAACCCTCGTGGCAAGAAATGCGGGCTTTGGGTTTGGGCTTTTGGTATGCTAACATACCTCAATTACGTGCAAGGGTAATGCTAAGTCCTTTTGTATTTTCCATTCTTCTTCATGTGCTATATGGGGTAACAAACAGGAAACAAAATCAAGGAAATTAAAACCTTCTGTGGCAATTCAATTTGGATTTTTATGTTTCTCTCGTAAAAATTATAAAATATTGGGGAGAGTAATTTTTTCCTGCTGAACCAGATGTTAAGAATTACATACTATTTTTATATACTTGGATGGTTACATTTATACATTTTGTTGGGAGTTGGGACCCTGGGAAGTAGTTGTGGTGTATATAAAGTATCAACGTTGTGATGCTTTAAAATGCTGTTTCTCAGGGTGAAAGTCCAGCTTCTGCAGTTGACTTCTTTAATCTATATATCTGCTGATGGCATGATGCCATGATGTAAGAAAAAGTGTGATTTCTTGTTTGCTTTGACAAATTAGAACATGGAAGGAAAATTTTTATTTCACTAATTGTTGATTATGTGCTTGTCTTCTGTAAATTATTGTTGTCACGACTGATAATATCTCATTGTTTATTACTATTTTTCCAATTCAAACAGCTTTAATACTTCCTTTGTTCTTCTTGCTCTAGATGGAGAAATTGGCAAGAGCTCAGTATTTGAAGAACAAAAATCCAAAGGATTGTGCTTTGCTGTATATTGCATTGAATAGAATTCAAGTTTTGGCCGGCCTATTCAAAATAAGTAAGGATGAGAAGGATAAGCCTCTAGTGGGCTTTCTTTCTCGCAATTTTCAGGTAAATTATCTCACAAATATGCAAGAACAGTGTTTTTTGTAGTGCTTCCGTTTTTATCAATGCCAATGAAGGACTTTGGCTCTATTTGCAAGAGCTTAACAGCAACTTATTCAAACTAATGTTTTTGAGAGTGTTTGGGAGAGCTTATGAAATATCTTATTGCTTTGTCCATAAGATGCTTTTAGCTTATATTCCTAAGCTCTCCAAGATAGCCATAGGAATAGCATATTCAACTAATTCCATATTCAAATCTCATTAGGGCCAAAGATATAAAGTGTGCATTATTATTATAGGTATATTTATCTCTAATAGATTTATTTATTTTTATGTGTTCCTTCTTTTTTACTAAAACTTGTTTAAATCAATTTGTATTTTTATATGTTTGTAATAATTTCTTTTATATGTAATTATTTTATGCCTTTCCTTCTACAATAGTGTATAGGTGGTGAAATTTTCATAATGTTATACTATTTTTATATACCAGTATTTATATTTTTATCATGTTTAGATAATTAAACATTTTAATTTTTAAAATTAGTGATATGTATTTGATGTTTTATTTGTTCACTTATTTTTTTATTTTGTCATACTTAATTTTTCCATTTTAAAAGTAAAATAGGTAAATTATGGCTAATAATATTTAGTTAGTTTCTAAGGATGATTTGTATTTTTTAAGAAATTTTAAAATGAGACAATATCTTATAGGTGCTTATGTAATTGTCGATCCAAACATGTCAAAATTATGAAGAACTTATTAACATGTATATCCAAAGCTTATCGAATTTTAAACATTTATAATTAATTATTGTATAATAAGAATTTATTGAAAAAATATCTTCATTAAGATGTTTTCCTTTCTAACAAGGCCCTTAGTAACTTACATTAGACTGATAATGTCATGTAGATTTTAATTATAGTCATTGTTTTAAAGTGAATTGTATAAGCATCAGATTCTTGTCCAACATGCATTTGTTTTGTCGTATTTATTTTATTAAGTCATTAATTCAGTCTTAATAATTTTATCACAGGACGAGAAAAATAAAGCTGCTGCTTTAAAAAATGCTTATGTATTACTGGGAAGGCATCAGCTGGAATTAGCAGTTGCTTTCTTTTTGCTTGGAGGTGATCATTCTTCTGCTATAAACGTTTGTGCTAAGAATCTTGGGGATGAACAGCTTGCCTTAGTAATTTGTCGACTTGTTGATGGCCATGGTGGACCTTTGGAGCATCATCTAATTACCAAGTACATAATTCCATCTGCAATTGATAAAGGAGATTACTGGCTTGCAAGCCTTCTGGAGGTACCCAAAATACTTACATTCATTTATCCTAAAACACTTTCTGATATTCTCTGCTTTTAAGGCTTGCTTGGTACATTTTCCTATACCATGTATAACTAGCTCTCATTGGTTTCTACTGCGAAATAAGTGATTACTATCAATCTTTTTTTATAAATGCTGGATTTTTGTCGAAGTCTTATAAATAAGATATAATACCTGTTAGTGTCCAGATGTATAGAAGATAAACATGTTATGTGTACAAAGTATTTAGTTCCTCATGATGAAAAGTGGAATAATTTTTGGACCTGATTTTGGTCAGATTGACCTGATTTATTTTTCTACCCCCTAGAATACTTGCATTCAATTTATCCGTCATGCATTTTGTTATATCTTCTTGTAGTGACTTGCATCATACATGATCCTAAGTCTAATTAGATGTCCTTGTTTTTGCAGTGGGAAATGGGTAATTACTACAAATCTTTTTATAGAATGCTAGAGTTTTCAGCAAACCCTGTGCCTCAGGAGTCCACTGTCATGTCCAATTGTGGTCCTTTTCTGGACCCTACAGTTGGATTTTATTGCCAAATGCTAGCAACAAAGAATAGCATGCGGAATGCTGTAGGGGAGCAAAATTCTGTAATTCTTTTGAGATGGGCAACTTTGATGACAGTTTCTGCCTTAAAGAGATGTGGTAATCCTGTAAGTTTGTTTTACATATTATGAAATTAATCAATTACAAGTTAATTGTGTGTGTACATAAAAAAACAAGTTTGCTGGAACTACAGCACATCTAATGAATTCTATTAATGTCAAAACTTTCAACCATTTTTCAATAATATGTCTCACGCTCTGTTTATTTTGTACTGGTTGATATGAAAACTGTCATGTGTACTTACTGTACCTTTCATAGCCTTATATGTAGGGGTGATAAATGGTTTTCTGCTATCAAAGATGGGGAGAAGCTAGCTTCTTATTCTACTATCCTTTCCTTAAGAAATTCATTTTTGCAGTATATTTCTCGGGCCTTTTCATGTAAATGTGTCCACCTGTTCTTGTCAATCTAGGATGATGTTGTGATGTTTTTTATGGCCATCCAAGTACCTAGTCATATTAATGACAGGAATTCTGAGAATTTTTAACCAATTATATGATCCTGATGTTTGAACTGGTATTGTTATTCATCGAGTTAAATTTTCTTTGCAGCAGCTTTATATTAATTGTCTATGCATGAAGTATTACTGGTCAGTAATTATTCATAATGTTTTCGTTTTTCAAGCTTGAAGCGTTGGAGTATTTCTCATCTTCACTGAGCATGCCTGGGACTGCAGATCAAGAAAGTGAATTAGGTGACAGTCATGATGTGCTGTCCAATACTCTTAAGCCTTTGCCAAGAAAATGCTCTAATTGGTTGTCTGCTAATGTGTCTGTGCATCTGGAGTTCCATATTAAATTGAATTTGGCACTTTGCTACTTATCAAAATTGATAAAAGAGCATCCAAGCTGGTTTGACACTTTTGCAGAATACAATGAAGAAGCCTCTGATTCTGACGAGTGCCTGATGCACTATGAGAAATCGGTTGAAAGTTTTAAACAAAAGTTATACAGAGGGCTTGCTCTATTTGAGCAGAGGTTTTTATTGGCTCCCCACTGTCTAATCAGCATGGTATGCTTTTCTACTCCAGTTTCCCCCCGTATGTACATTGCATTACTGTTCAGAAATATACTTCTGTGATGACTCTTTAATTTCCCTCTTCTGCAGATTTTACTCTTTCTTTGTCATCATGGATCATTGTACATTGGATATGATATTCCAGATGGATGCACTCAAGGAGAACTGTATCAAAAGAAGAGCAATATATTTGATGATTTCAATTTATATTACTCTAGGGTTACACCCCTGTTTAAGACCGTAGAAGAAGTCTCCTATTTCTATTCAAGATTATTTTGTGCCTGCAGTATGGAAAATTCTCAACGATATTTGATTATTGATAGTAAACCTAACCTTTTGGATACTTCACGGTGCCGCTTTGATGGTGTTTTGATTTCATTGTGGTTTTTAAGAGCAACTTTGAGGATCCAGTTGAGTTCTATTAGCAAAGATATCATCAAAACACCTCTTGATATACTGAATTTTTATGAGTACTATTTACATTTTTCATTAGCTTGGCTTCAAAAAAACTCAGAAGCACTGTTGTATATGGTGGAACCATTCCTGATTGCACAATCTAATGGCCATAACCCTTATGACATTGATATGGTTAATATGAAGAAACTTATCGCAAAAGTTGGACAGTTGTTGGCTCAAACAACTTCTTTACCTAGTACACAAAACCTTCAACTATCTGAACATGCAGAAGATAAACTAGATGCAGATATAAAGCATTCAATTCCTGAAGATGAAAGATGGAAGATTTTAGGGACCTGCTTGTGGCAGCATATGTCTAGATTCATTATATCAAATTTGAATTCAATTCTTGCCAAACTTGAAGATGGTAATTTGTCTGGTCCTTTCCGCAGAAAATATGCTTATGGGGAGTCTTGTATCATAAATATGGATTCTGAAAGCCTTAGCTTGCCAGAGAAGATTCAGATAGTCTCATATAGCCTATGTGATCTACTGATGACAACAGTTACTCACACCTCTTCTTATCATGTTAAACAACATGCAGAATTTCTGTGGCAAAAAGTAGAGAATGATTTGAATGTAATGACTCTTGAATGGTTAAAACAAAAATCCCAATTCAGTCAGAACCAAAACCTGAACATTTTGGAACTGGGTAACAGGAAAGATTATTCAGTTCATCAGTTATTATGGGATCACATTACCGATCCCAAATTGATATTTGATTGCTTTGCACAGGAAAAACTCAATTGGCCAAGTGATTTGGATCATATGCATACTAAAGGGTGGAATGATTTGTCTATGATTATGACAGGGCTGCTTAAAACTGATGATACATGTGGTGACGAATGTAAACTTAGCACTAGATCTTCTAATCCTGAAGTTGAGACTCCAGTTAAAGGAACGTCTCTAAATGGCCATGCTTTTGCAAGATCAAACCAGAACGATATAACTTCTACAAATTTTACATTTTTCCAGAGTCCTAGAGAAATGTACAAGAGAAATGGAGAACTTTTGGAGGTGAATTCCCCTTCTGTCTAATCATTTTTGCAGGACAACTTATGTACATATCAAAATGATATTGTTGCTATATTTGAGCAGGCATTGTGTATGAACTCTACAAATCGATGGGAAGCCGCAGTTGCTAGCAACAGGAAGGTTTGGATCTTAATTGATTTATTCTGAAGTTTCAGATGCTTAGATGTTAAATTGTTCATTGGCATGCCCTGTTTGTTTTTTGTACAAAAGATTGTATAATTTGTTTGCATATGGGGAATGGTTTAAATTAAAAGTATTAAAATTTAATTATGAACATGATAAGATGTATATAAATGTCTTTGTTTCTGTTTAATCTAATTCAGGGTATAATGTTCTTTCATCTGGAAGATGAGATTCCGTTTAGTGGTAAATCAGATGGTCTTTTGTGGGCCACAGCTGACTGGCCTCGGAATGGATGGGCAGGTTCAGAATCCACCCCTGCTCCAACATGTGTTTCTCCTGGTGTTGGCCTTGGGAGCAAGAAAGGGGCACACCTTGGGCTGGGTGGAGCTACTGTCGGTGTGGGCTCTTCAGCTTGGCCCAGCAATGACTTGACAGGTGGCAGAGTATTAGGAATGCTAGGTTATGCTGATATTGGTGCCTCTAGACTAGGTTGGGAAATTCAACAAGATTTTGAAGATTTTGTTGATCCACCTGCCACTTTGGAGAACACAAGTACCAGGGCTTTGTCTAGTCATCCAATGAGGCCTTTCTTCTTGGTTGGTTCTAGCAATACACACATTTACTTGTGGGAGGTAAGGAAATTTCAAGTTGCTATGTATACATGGCAGATGCGATGTGACTGTCTGTGCTTGTATTTGTATAAACAAATGTAGACAGTTCCACCTCCCCTCATCTTATGGTTTCTTCATTTAGGTGGCCAACTTAGTTCAATTGTTTTTCTTAAGTTTACTTGGTTTACTGTTCAAGCTTCATGCACAATTGCACATACAATCCTTGTCCCTAATAGGAGGGTTTCTTTTGAATCAATGGTTCTTTTCAATGTAGATCCATGTTCAGTCATTTGAGTTTAAAACTGAATATCTATCATACTATGTAGTTTATTTTCATTTTTTGATTAGTTTTAAAGAGGTTATAGGTTCATTTAAATTCCTCTTCAATTATTGTGACTCCCCCTCCCTAAAACAAAAAAGATATTTTGAATATAATATCTGGATTAGTGCAATTAATTAATTGCATTTGTGGACAATATTTCAAGCTTATGGATAATGAGAAGCATTTTAAATACAGTTCAACAAAGGCAAAGCTACTGCTACATATGGAGTGCTGCCTGCTGCCAATGTCCCTCCACCTTATGCCCTTGCATCTATTTCAGCTGTACAGTTTGACCACTTTGGACACCGGTTTGCCAGTGCTGCATTAGATGGAACTGTCTGCACATGGCATCTAGAGGTTGGAGGAAGGAGCAATGTCCGCCCAACAGAATCATCTCTTTGCTTTAATGGTCATGCTTCGTATGTACTCTCTCTTTCTCAACTTGTAGTTGCAATTGTTGAGATATTGATAGATAATTGTACTTCAGCTGATATCAGAGATATTATTCATATTTCATTGTGGTGGGGGAGGCATTTTGCCTCATTTGTTACCCTATGTTGTGGTTCTAGTTATGTCCCAGAAATGAATATCACAAGGTTAGATTCGACAGCCTGTCATTAACAGTTAGAAATGGTTTAATATTAAAATAGCATTCATAACTAGGAGTGATGTATTAACCATTTGACTCCAGTTTATGATGGGGTTCAACTATTTTGAGTTTTTTATATTTTGTGGGCATTTTTATTTGTTATTTTTCCCCTAATAAAGATCTCATTTTGCTCTTATTTAAATGCAAACTATTCTTCATTTGATTTCAGGGATGTCACATATTTTTCCTCAAGTGGATCAATAATAGCTGTGGCTGGATATAGCTCTAATGGTGTTAATGTGGTCATATGGGATACTTTAGCTCCACCCACAACTTCTCGTGCTTCCATTTTATGTCATGAAGGTCTGTCTCTAAATTAGTTTTGTTAATTAATGTTTATACACGTTATGTATTATAAAGAGTTTTAACTTAATTCCAAAAACTATCTTAACTGAGGAGGATTATTATTATTGACATTTGAAGCATGAAGTTTGCTGGACTGGACATGTCTCAGTGGCCTCAAATCATGACTGGATGCTCTAATACTATGTTAGAAATGGACTATACCTAACTCACTACCAAAACTAACTCATGAAGGGAGTTTTCCCATGTTATATAAAGAGTATTATGGCCTTAATTTTAGCCAACGGAGGACATCTTAACACCCTTCATGTCTAAAACTGATCAGGAGTATTAAGTTTATAGAATTAGACATCTTCCACTGTCCTAACATTAAAACTCGATAAATTTTGATATCTTGGTAAAAATATGCTGGCCGAACTAATTTCGGAAGCCCACGTCAGGAAAAGGGTATTATGGTCATATTCTGAGATCGTGGGACATCTTAAACATTATTGCTAGATATCCCATATCTATTAGAGATAAAATTAAATTATAGTATGTCTCACCTTGCAAATTGGACTCATCTACTTTCTAATATGGTGTTAGAACCTATTTTGATATTGTTTGTTTGGAGTTATTGTGAAAAGAAAAAAATAGAAACAGGGATAAAAGTCTGTATTAATCCACCTTCTTAATGTTTTAATATTTGTCCATTATATAGATGGACATTAGCATGTGTTAAAGGAAAAAAAAAATACTAACCAATACAACTGTAAACATAACAGAATGACCCATGTTAAAAACAAAATCACCTAAAACTAAACAGAATAATAACAGTTAAATATTATCCACGCTGACAGCCCCCCGCAAGCTAGAATGGAGGTTGATCATTCCAAGCTTGGAAACAAGATATCGAAACAGTCCTAGAGCAAGAGGTTTTGTGAAGAGTTCTGCAGTTTGATCCTTAGAAGGAATAGGCATTAGGTGAATAAGTTTTGAATGAACTTTCTCACGTACTAAGTGACTATCCAGTTCGATGTGTTTGGTTCTTTCATGAAAGACTGGATTTGTGCTATGTGAAGAGTTGACTGACTATCACAATAAAGAACCACCGAACGTGTGAGAGAAATGCCAAAATCCTGTGGAACATAGATCAGTCATTGGGCTTCACAACTTGTTTGAGCTAGAGCAGTATACTCGGCCTCAGACAAAGATCTCGAGACTGTAGTTTGCTTTTTGAATTTCCAAGAAACCAAAGCGGATCCAAAGAAGAAACAAAAGCTAGTAACAGACTGTCTTGTGTCAGGGCAAGTCCCCCAGTCCGAGTCAGAGAAACCAATAAGGTGAAGAGAGGACTGAATGGGAAAGAAATGACCTTGTGCAGGATTGCCTTTGATGTACTGAAGAACACGAAGAGTAGCTTGTAAATGAATGGAAGATGGCTGGCTAAGAAATTGATTGAGTTTGCTAACAACAAAGCTAATGTCAGGCCTAGAATTTGTTAAATAGACCAATCTGCTAAGAAGTCTTCTATATATAGAAGCATCGGGAGTAGAAGATCGAACAACCATAGAAAGCATAAGAGAGTAATCCATTGGTGTTGAAAGAGGTTTAGAGGCCAATAAACCAGTATCTTGTAAAAGGTCCGGTGCATATTTGCGTTGATTAAGGGAAATGCCTTGAGAAGATCTTGCAATTTCAAAACCTAAGAAAAACCGCAAAGGACCAAGGTCTTTGATGCCAAATCTATTATTTAAGAGGGATTTGAGTTGGGTGATCTCAGATAGATTATTCCTTGCAAGGATCAAATCATCAACATAAGTAAGCACAATGGTAAAACTAGTGATTGACCTCCTGGTAAATAGGGCATAATCAGTGTTAAGGTTCCAACATAAAACCAATTGGCAATATGTGGAGTAGCCTAACATGTATTTAAACCATACCAAATGATATGAGGTAGGCGACGTGGGACTTTCAACACACCCCCTCCAACGAAGCCTGCCGGACCAGGCAAAGGGTACTTTTGACCCATGACAATAACCGGGAAGATGTTAGGCTTTGGCTCTGATACCATGTTAAGGTTCCAACATAAAACCAATTGGCAATATGTGGAGTAGCCTAACATGTATTTAAACCATATCAAATGATATGAGGTAGGCGATGTGGGACTTTCAACACACCCCCTCCAACGAAGCCTGTCGGACCAGGCAAAGGGTACTTTTGACCCAACTAAAGGGAAACTTTTGGCCCATGACAATAACCGGAAAGATGTTAGGCTTTGGCTCTGATATCATGTTAAGGTTCCAACATAAAACCAATTGGCAATATGTGGAGTAGCCTAACATGTATTTAAACCATACCAAATGATATGAGGTAGGCGACGTGGGACTTTCAACAATCAGATTTGGAGTAAATAAAACCCTCTGCAGTGAGGGTAGCAGTCAATTTGAAATTCCATTGCCTACTAGCTTGGCGAAGGCCATATAAGGATTTTGTGAGCTGGCAAACAAGAGTAGGGTCAGAGAGATGCAAACCAGTTGGTGGTGTCATGTAAACCTCCTCATCTAGATCACCATGTAAAAAGGTTGTATTTACATCAAGTTGTTCTAAGTGCCAACATTCAACTGCAGCAATTGAGAGAAGCATTCAGATGGTGGTGATTTTAACAACAGAGCTAAAGGTGTTAAGGAAATCAATTCCTTCCGTTTGAGTAAAACCTTTTGCAACCAAATGGGCCTTATATTGTTCAATTGAGTCATCCACTTTATGCTTGATTTTAAAAATCCATTTGCAGCCGATGGTTTTCTTTCCTTTAGGCAAGTGTGTCAATGTCCAAGTATGATTCTTGTCCAAAGCAATCAGTTCATTCCGAATGACCTCTTTCCAACAATCAAACTGAACAGCCTCTTGGTATGTGGAAGGTTCCGAGACAGAAGAAACAGATAAACAAAAATATTTGTAAGAAAAGGAAAGAAAATCATAAGAAAGAGAGTCAGAGAGGGGATACCTGACCTGAGAGGAGAATGATATAGAAGAAGTCCCAGCCAATGCACAATGATAGTCTTGGAGGTAATTGGGAGGTTTCGAGGTTCTTTGAGATTTTCTGTGGGGAATGGTAGGATTGGGGGAATTGGATAGAGGAGTTGGAGGGTTAGGAGGTTGTGTAGGCTAAGATGGCAACGGGTTAGTAGGTATAGGTGGAGGTTCGGATGAGGTTATAGGTAAAGGAAAGATGTCTTCATATGAAGGATGAGGAATAGAAGGTGAATCAATAAAAGTAGAATGTGGTGAAGAGCCCTATGATTGTTTGTGAGGAAAAATGTTTTCATAAAAATGTATGTGCCTTGACAGAAAGATCTCCCTATTGTGTAGATCATATAGAAGAAAAATTTTAACACCTCTTTTATATCCTAGAAAAATACATTTTCTTGCTTTAGAATCTAATTTCTTGCGATGAGTTGTATTAGTGGAGGCAAAAGCAAGACAACCAAACACACGTAAATGGGAAATATTAGGGAGTTTATCATGCAACACATAATAAGGGGATTTATTGTCCAATAATGAAGATGGAATACGATTAATTAAGTGGACAACTAATGCAGCGGCGTAGTTCCAAAAATAGTGTGGTAAACCAGAGTGAAACAATAATGACCTAGTGATATTTAAAATATGTTGATGTTTGCATTCAATTAGGCCATTTTGTTGTGGTGTTTCCACACAACTTTTGTGGCGAATAATCCCCTTTTCAGCAAAAAATTGAGCAAGATTAAACTCAGGACCATTGTCAATTCAAATACATTTAATGGTTTTATGAAATTGGGTTTGAATAAGAGCAACAAAGGATTGAACTAAAAATCCAGTTTCAGATTTTAACTTCATAGGATATAGCCAAGTAAATCTACTGGTATGTTCAATAATAGTGAGAAAATATTTGTGACCATGTAAAGATGGTGTAGCAATAGGAACCCAAATGTCAAAGTGTACAAGATAAAAATTGTCATAAACAGAGTTACTATCAAGGAAAGATAAATGCTTCTGTTTAGAGAAATGACAAAAATCACAGGGTAAATCAGTTTTATTGCATTCAATTGAGGGGTACAACTGTTTCAAGGTACAAAGTTTTTCATGGGAAAGGTGACCAAACCTAAGATGCCAAACATTATTCTTGTAAGAAAAAAAATGGTGTACATTGTGTAAGATGGGTTTGGCTTGAGATGTCATTATGTAAAGACCATGTTGGACTTTAGCTACACCAATCATCCTCTTGGACTGTGAATCCAGAATCTGACAATTATGAAGGGAAAAGAAAAATTGACAAGTTAATGAACGAATAAGTTGAGAGACAGAAATAAGATTCAAAGTAAAATTTGGAATATACATCACATTTGTGAGAAAAAAAAAATTGGAAAAGAAAACTGTGCCAAAAATGTGGGCAGGAATATCAACACCATTGGGAAGTTTAACATGAATAGGGAAAATTTGATTATGGTGCTAAAACAAAGAGAGATTGTTACAGACATGAATGGAGGCATCAGTATCAAGGATCAGGTATCTGAAGGAAATAAATTGGAAAAAGTGGAAACATTACCTGAGGGTTTATTGAGAAGAGGAGTAGAAATGTGATTAACCGTGGTACTATTCAGATTTGATTGTTGCAAAAGAGTCATTAAGGCTTGATGTTGCTCAGGAGTCAGAGTCATAGTTGGAGCAGAAGACACTCTTGTTTGAGAAAGAGCAGTAGTTACCCTCATCAACATCTTCGAGGGTTTGTACATTATTCGCAGAATGAGAAGTCTGCATATGAGGAGGGAAGTCATGTTTCCTATAGCAGGTTTCAACCGTGTGACCAGGACGATCACAATGGGAACAAACTTTGGGATTCTCACCACGACTGCGACCTCTACCAGACGTGAAGAGGAAAATAAAGCAAGTGTGTGGGGATCATCAACAGGGACTCCAAATTGACGCTTCTGTTGGATGAGTAATGAAAAAATACGATCAAGATCAGGTAACGGCTGCATCATCATGATTTGAGATCAAACCACAGAGTATTGATCAATGAGCCCTTTTGGAAAAAGAATAACATAGTCGCCGTCCCGATAAGAACGTATGGTAGGAACAAGATTACAAGAACATTTGATGTGACAAGAACACGAGGGTAGGGGACGAAATTGATCGAATTCTTGCCATAAATTTTGCAATTGAGTGAAATAAGCGATGATATTAAGGGAACCTTGACGAAGGGCATAAATCTCTTCTTGAATATTAGATATACGAAAAACATCACCCTGATAATAGCGTTTGCATAAAATATGTCAAATCTCAGCAGCGGTGTCGATCCAACAAATGCTTAGAGCAATAGAGGTATCCAGAGAATTAACCAGCCACAACATAATAATGGAATTGCAGCGATCCCAAGAGCCAAATAATTCAGAATTAGGGGGTGGGTGAGGAAGAGTTTCATTGATGAGTTGAAATTTGTTCTTCGAACGCAGAGCAGTGGAAACGTCATGGGACCAAGAATGATAATTGGAGCCATCCAATTTTATCGGAACAAGAGGGATTCCAAGGTTATCGCCACTGGTAATGAGGTAGGGATTAGAAGAATCAAGAAGATTAGGATAATGGGCCGCCATGGAGGAAGCGACAAAGAATCGAAAAAATCATTGGAACTAGAAATGGCTCTGATTCCATGTGAAAAGAAAAAAATAGAAATAGGGATAAAAGTCTGTATTATTCCACCTTCTTAATGTTTTAATATCTGTCCATTATATAGATGGACATTAGCATGTGTTAAAGGGAAAAAAAAATATTAACCAATACAGCTGTAAACATAACAGAATGACGCATGCTAAAAACAGAATCACCATAATAATAACAGTTAAATATTATCCACGCTGACAGTTATTGTACCACCTGTTATTGGCCGTTTGTAAAGAACTCATCCTCAAAGTGGGGAATATGACCAAGTTATAAAATATAAGTGAGGCATTAACCTCATCTTATAAGTCAATTTTATAAGATTAAGATAGACTTATATCTACTTTCTAATAATAACTAGTCCAAAAAGATAAGCAATTAGATGAACTTGCATGAGTGATTTAATATTTTTATAACACCTCTAATACACCCCCACACCGAACCCCATGAGCTTGACATGTAGATAGCGTATGGCCCTCCTAACTTGTGTGTAATTTCAACTTCTTTATTTGAAAAATGGTGCTTGCTAGAGTTGAACTCTAGACAATTTGGTTGTAGAGATTCTGATGCTCTGTACCACTAGGTCATCAAATTGATGTTTCAGTACCATGTCATGAATCAATTATCCTAAAAGCTTAAGCTATTGGGTAAAAATCACATAAATGGTTTTTTTATCTAACAATAAGCAACATAATTGAATCATTGAATTTTCATGTACCCATAACAAATTGATTGGGATGAAGTAGCACATTATTGTCTAATTAAACTTTTTTTAAAAGAAAATAAACTTTTTTATTCAGGGTTGAATTGGGGCTTGCCTCTGGTCCGTAAAATCTGAAACTTCTAGTGCTGAAATGTCTTACTCTAAGGTTTGGATTGCCTATATGGCTCATTGTTTAGGTTTGAATCATGCATACTGACTTCTAGCTATTGTATACTTGTCTGCGAAGGCTGAATTATGTTTAAGGTTTGTTTTTTTTTTTCCCCTTTAGAAAGGGGTTCATGTCCTGTTTCATATATGAAGATTGCTCCGTGCCTTGTCACATTTCCAACTTCACCTCTTACTTTTTTTAAGGTGGTGCACAAACCATTTCTGTGTCTGATAATCATGTGGGAAGTGGTTCTGTATCCCCCCTTATTGTAACTGGTGGTAAAGGTGGTGATGTTGGAGTTCATGACTTCCGCTATATTGCTACCGGAAAGACTAAAAGGCATAGGCGTGGTGATAACATTGGACAAGGCTCTGTATCATCTTTGGCTCGTGACAAGGACCAGAATGTAGATGGGATGCTTTGGTACATTCCAAAGGCCCACTCAGGTGAACAAAGTTTATTTGCACTTTTAGTAATGGGTTTATTCTTTTTTCTTATGATTTCCGCTTAAATTTTATGATCATAGGGAGTGTCACAAAAGTAGTTACCATCCCCAATACCAGCTTGTTTTTAACTGGAAGCACAGATGGAGATGTCAAACTCTGGGATGCCCAGAGCACAAACTTAATACAACACTGGTCAAAGATACATGAAAAACACACCTTTCTGCAACCAAGTTCTCGTGGATTCGGTGGTGTAGTTCGGGTAATTTTTTCAGGATTTTATATTAAATTCTTATGTTTCTTAATGTGTTTAGCACCAACCTCAGCTATTTTAGACATAATAGAAACTCCCACCGTTGACGGTACCTCCTGGCTGTGAAAATCATAGCTGCTTTAAAGCTGATGCCGTGGGGGGTTGTAGTTGTGTCAAACACAGTGACCTTTACTTAACTAAAATTTGTCGCTAGTGCCAATGTGTTTTTTTAAGTTTAATCAAACAGATATAGTCCATCAGTGATAAGAGTTCTCAAACTAATACTACTAGCTTAAATTGTGACAGGCTGCTGTTACAGATATACAAGTTGTTTCCCATGGTTTTCTCACATGCGGCGGGGATGGAACTGTAAAGCTGGTTCGGCTGGACAATCACCTGCGTGCCCCTTGAATTAAATTATGATACTTCAGAGATCCTTTATGTTGATGACAAACGCTACTATGCTGCAAATACTTCATAACAGTCTCATTATTGGTGAGAAGCTATCATTTTCTGAATTACTGATTTCTTCAATAACTTACACAAGAAATGTGAACATTTCTGAAGCCACCATCCATTTTGAAAAGGATTCTTCATTGGATTATGGTATGCTAAGATATCCAAAAATCTGCAACTTGGACTAGTCATACATCCCGGAAGATAAGCATCTCATGCTAGTGAACCTCATCGCTTCTTTGAACTGATTGCATGAGTTCATCTTGATTCGACATTCCTTGTGCATTGAGCAAAATTTTAGTTACTGGCCGGCATATAATTATGTTATGAATACCTTTCATGGCTGGCAAAATTTTGAGAGAAATGATCTCTGTTCTTGGTGTATATTACCTTTCGTGGCTGGCACAATTTGAGAGAAAACTGGTCTCCGTTCTTGGGGTATATTACCTCGTTGAATTTGTTGAGGCATGTGAGTACAGTAAGTATATATGTACGTACGAGGAGTTCCAGTTTGAGTTTTTTTTCTATTAGTGAGCTTTGTTTCGTTTCACTTGTCACACCTTGGAGCTTCCTCTTGCAGATTGTATATTTAAAGAAATTTTGTCAATGATATTAGAAAATTCTCACTTTATCTCTTTTGAGGATATCATCTATAATTTTAAATAGACATATTTTCTTATATTTTTAATAAAATTACATTCACACTCTCTCATTTCAAAGAGAGACTCACTTTCCTTTATATTTTTAATAAATAGTATTCATTTTTTTATATATTTTCACATCTGCAATTCTTATTTTTATATAAGGTTAAATTTTACTCTTGGCTCTTTAATTCATTTTTTATATTTATTTAGTCTTTTAACTTTTAAAAATTTCGTTATGTTTTCAAAGGTTTATTTGGATCTTCCTCTTTTCCATAAAACTAATAAAAAACGTTCATAGAATTTAATGTGGTTTATATATATATTATTGTTTAAAATTAAAGATTTATTTTTTATTCTCATTATTTCTTATAATTTAATATTTAAATCTATCAGATAAAAAAAATAATAAAGAAAAATAAGTCTTCAAATCATTCTCTTTCTTTATCCCTTATGAATGAGATGGATTAAAAGGTGTTATCCTCAAATTAAATGAATTAGGTTTCATATATCACATTCTTTTTCTTTTTCTTTTTCTTTTAATGACCAAACTACGTGTAAACATAGGAAAAATCCTTTAGTCATAAATTCACAAGCAACCATAAGTGGAACAATACTAAAATCCCACGTTTAAATCAAAATCATACCTCAAAGCATAACACGCATTTAACTAGAAAAAATGAAGAAAATAAAGAAATTCATAACAATATTTACCAACTCGTTAAGGAGGTCACAACAATTTACTTCAATGGTCATAAAAAAGAAAATTCATTCTTCTATTCTTATCAAGTTTCTCCCCTCTATTAATTTCAAAACCCTACTCCCACCAAATTTCGATAAGTTTAAAATAAAAATTGACAATTTGTATCACTTATTATTGTTTGTTACTGTTAGTAGGAAATCGAGATAAGCGATCGAAAAATGAAGGAAAGAAAAATCGAGAAACATGTGATTGATCGGTAAAGCGAAAAGGTGGATGAGCAACCATTCGATGTCCAATTAGAAGGGCATGGCACATAAAATCGAAAGTTAGAGTCGGAATCGGAGAAAATAATAGGCAAAAGTTTATCGTGGAACAAACCAAGAAATTAGAAGTATATGATGCTAAGGTTAAAAGGAATCAAAAGTGATCCAAAGTTCTCGATAAAATCGAAGTTTAAATCGAAAGAAAGGTTAACCCGCATAAATATCAAAATCGTGGTCAGATCATAAAGAGAAGGAGTTAAACACGTACATAGGAAACAGTTTCTAAATCGTGGCAGAGGTTGAAGATCATGGGAACGTGGGTGCAGTTTTGACACCACAGAAGAAGAAACTGCAACACGCACGAAGAACGTGGTAGCAGTTTTGTTAACTGCTCCTAGAAGGCTTGAATGATGCCCTATAAATAGAGCAGAGGAAGAAGGAATAAGGGAGCGGAAATTGGCAGAGAACAGGATTAGTAGTGAAAAAGTCTACCGGAGAAACGACGAACACCATGAAGCTTCTGACAATCTGGATTTCTATGCTCATGGAGTACCTTTATCGCTTTCTTTATTTTCCTTGGTAATTTATTTTGATGCAATTTATATTCAGCAATTTTATGTTTATGTGTTTTCGATTCTTGGTCATTTCGATTCAATGCAAGTTAAGTTTCCGTATTTAAATTCCCTAGTCATTTTACATTAATGCAATTTCGATTTCCAGTCATCTAGTGCACCTTTGATTTACTGTCCTTTACATTTCCAGCAAATTCGATTTCTCGTTATTTACATTATTGCTGTTTCGATTCCCTGTTTTTTACATTTAAAGCAAATTTAAGATTTTCGTAGTTTACGTTTCTTTGCAGTCTAAGTTTCAGCACTACTTTTTGATTCCATACATTTTCTGCTTTCTTTACTTCGAGTATTCTTAATACAAAACACCAAAAATAGTACCTTTGAAATCGGATGAAATTCGATCCTCATACACATTTCGATTGAAAATTAATTTGCTAGCCTAAGCAAAAAGAACTTACGTGGTAGAATTTTGATTAGGATCAAAATATCTTAGGAGTCGAAATCGATTGAAATTCCACCAGAAACAAATTGGCGCGCCAGGTAGGGGGGACTTGTGTTGAAAAACACAAAATTGGTTAGTCCGAAAGTGTATGAGATTAAGGAGTGGGAGAGTTATAAGAATGAGTCAAAATTCTTCAAATAACCAGAGTAATAGTGAGGGTCTAAATGGTGTACATTCACCAAATACTGGGGGGCAAAGTCATAATGGGAATATGCCTGTAACATCGACAACTGCGAGTATGTCGACACCTGCGGGTAATGAACAAAATTTAGGCACCTTAGCAAATACCCAAGTAGGATCTAGTGTGGTGGTACCAAATAATATGCAAACTGTGGGAAACCCCACAACCACATATGTAGGGCCATATATGAGTGTAAGACCTCCCGGGTTCTCACTTAATAATATGAGCGGGGCTGGAACTTCTTCAACACAGAGGAATTCGAGATATAACTTAGGAATGCCTCAAACACTAGGTATGCCCCAAAATTTAGGAGTCCCTCCAAATTTAGGGACATCTCAAAACCTAGCAATCCCCCTGAATTCAGGAAGTGGACAGAATTTAGGCACACAACAAACGCTTCCAAATCTAGATCATAGAGGAAATTTGGAACCTGGAAGATACATATTCGATAGAGATTATCATCGATCCAATTTTGAGACTATCGAAAACACTGGTACTGGGATATCCAGTAACTCATTAGGGATACTTAGACAACAAATGGATGAGAGCAATTTTGAGATGGTGAATATGTTATCACAACAGTTGACTACAGTTTTAAATCCATTAGTTCAAAACACTACTGCTAGTTTCGAGATATTAGCAGATCAAATGTCACGTATCGGGGATGCATTGGCAATACCTCGACAAACAAGGGTAGAAAATCATGTTAACCAGAATGCTAACATTAATTCCCCATATCTATTGAGGAGAAATCGGAACAATGATCAACAAATAGGGAATGAATACCAACATGTGAGGAATGATATTTATGGGAATTTGAACGAGGGATTTCAAAATATACACAATCAGAATAACATGTTAGGACAGAGGGTGAATTTACAAGGGATGGAATTTAGACCACCCAATCAAACATACTTTGTGTCACCCTTTCCAAATGCGATTCTCGAGACGAAATTACCTCGAGGATACAAAGTACCTAAATTCACCAAATTCGCTGGAGAGATTGGTGAATCAACTATCGAGCATGTAGCTCGATATCAGATCGAATGTGGGGATTTAGCGATGAGTGAGGAATTAAAAATGAAATATTTCTCTAGTTCTTTGACTAAGAATGCTTTTTCTTGGTTTACTTCATTACCACCCAATTCAATATATAATTGGTTACAACTGGAAAGAAATTTTCATGAGCAATTCTTTAGAGGAGAAACTCAAGTAAGTCTCATCGACTTGATGAATATAAAAAGATACAATCACGAAAGCATAGATGATTATTTGAATCGATTTAGACAAATGAAATCGAGATGCTTTACTCAAATTCCTGAATATGAATTAGTCAGAATGGCCTCTGCAGACTTAGAATTCTCGATTAGGAAAAAGTTAGTCAATTTACCATTGAATGATATGGCTCAGTTAGCTGATAAAGTGAGAAGAGTAGAACAAATTGAATATGAAAAACAAAGATATAAGAAATTTGAGAAACCGATGAAGAAAGAAAGAATAGCATATATAAATGATGTGTATGAAACAGATCCCATGACAGAGAATGATGTGGAAGAGACTGTCGATGAGAAAGTAAATATAGCAGAGCTCAAAGTAGGAGCTCCATATATCTGTAAATTGCTACAAAAGAATGAAGTAAAAGATAAGATGGCAAATCGAACATATATTTTCGATGTGACAAAGGCTGATAAAATCTTCGATATTTTATTAAAAGACAAACAAATTAAGTTGAGTGAAGATCATAAACTGCCTACAGCAGAACAAAGGAATGGTCGAAAATATTGTAAATTTCATAACGTTTTTGGACATTGGACTAACAATTGTATACATTTCAGGAATACAATCCAAGATGCGATTGACCAAGGAAGACTGAAATTTGAAGAGATGTCGATGAAAGTGGACACGAGTCCATTCGAAGTGCAAGTGGGATACATTGAATCCCAAACGGGCATGACCGAGGATGGCCGAGTGATGAATTCTGCCTTTATAGGCATGGTCGATGTTACTGAAGACATTGATCCCAAACATGTTAGGATGGATGTATCTGAGGAAGATATGGAATTTGACCTGAGCGAATTCGAGAAGGAGTTCGAAAATGAGATCTACCCTCGATCAGGAGATTCCCTCATTGAGTTTTTGAATAGAAAGAAAGAAAAAGACGAAGATGTGTCGTTATGCCCACGATGCAGTGCGGTGTTCGATAAATCGGCTGCTAAAACCTTCAGATTAGAACGGATAAAGAAGATCGAGAGCCAGAATAAAAGGAAAAATGACAAAGTGGATCAAACAACCCGACCAACGATCGAAGAAAGTCAACAGAAATCCG